GCTTCCTTTCTTCCTTCCCTCTCTCTCTCCTTCCTCTCTCTCTCTCTTTTTTTTTTTTTTTTAATAAAATCTTGGTTTTAAGCAGAAATAGTCTCAAAGCTGCTAGATCAGCAGTCACAAAGTCCAAGCACATATCTTACTTATTGGTGGGGACTCATTCATAAACCAGTTAACCTTACTTTGGATATAATTCTGACGAGTTGGGTTATATGGAATCCCAGCCCACAGTAGATGAAAAGCAGTTTTTAGTGGGGAAATGAAAGGCTTTTAGGTAAGGCAAGCACAGTGGCAATAATGAAATGTGACAGCCACAGCCTGGGTTGGGAAGATATGGATAGGAAAGCTTATGAAAAGAGATATTAGCATAAAAACACATAAAATGCAAATCAAGACCATGAGATACCACTTCACACCCATAGGATGGGTATAATTAAGACGTCAGATGATGACAAGTGCCGGTGAGGATGTGCAGACAGCTGCTAGGAATGTAAGATGCGTCAGCCACTTTGGAAACAGTCTGGTAGTTTCTCAAAAGGTTAAACATAGTTCCTGTATGACCCAGCAATTCCACTCCCACGTATATACCCAAGAGAAATGAGACAGAGGTCCATTCAAAAACTTGTACATGAATGTTCACAGCAACACTATTCATAATAGCTAAAAAAATGGAAACAACCCAAACATCCAACTGATGAATGGATAAAAATGTATATCCATACAATGCAATATTATCTAGCAGTAAAAAAGAATGAGGTACTGAAACATGCTACCACATAGATGAACGCTGATAACATCCTAAGTGAAAAAAGCCAGTCACAAAGGACCACATATCGTGTGATTCCATTTACATAAAACGTCCAGAATCGGCAAACCTATAGATAGAAAGTAGATTAGTGGTTTCTTAGGGCTGAGAGAATAGGAGAGTGACAGTTAATGGGTGGAGGGTTCCATTTTTAGGTGATGAAAAAGGTCTGGAATTAGTGATGCTGGATGCACAACTGTCAATGAACAAAAACCACTGTATAGAACACTTTAAAGGACTGAATCGAATGGTATCTCATTAAAGCTGGTACTTTCAAAAAAGAGTAAGTACAGTAGTCTGGGTTGTTTTAGTGTAGGGGCAAACAGCATAACATTCCAATTATCCAAGTCAGTGTCTCTGGGCTGGCAACCTGGTCATGACGATTAAATGAATTTCAGCAGGAACTGTTTCATTTATGTTCTGGAAGATACCTAACGAAAACAAGTAAGAGAGAACACAATGCTTCCAGTGCATAAAGAAGTGTGATTGAGGGTCTCTGAGTCCAAATCCTGACTTTGCCATCTACTAGTGAAACGACTTGCCCATAGGATAAAACCCAAACACCTATCTGAGTTTGTTTTCATCTGCAACATGGAAATTACACCATCTTCTCTTCAGAGCAACTGTAAGAATTAGTAAAACAAGTGGCACTGTGCCTGGCACAGACTAGGGATTCAATATGTAGCAATTTTAAAATTCCACTTTTCAAAGAGCACCCATTATGTGCGAGGCACCATTCCAGGCACTGAGGACACAGCCATGAACACAACAACGTCCTTACCTGTGGTTAAGAAGTCACCAGTAAAATCTATTGTTAGCCCCTCAGCCCAGTGTATGTGCATCCATTAGCCAGCTTTTGTTCTCTATGGCTGGGATGCTCTCTTCTGTTGTTTCTATGGTCAGAGTATCCTTGACACATACTGATTGCTTTTTGGTTTTCCAAACCAACTCAGGAGCCAGAGCTGGCTACAGACAGCCCAAACTCTGGCTACCGAGTCCTTCATCAGGTAAGAATGAGAGACACGATATAGTCTGAAGAGATTCAGATGAGTGAGACAGCTCCCTGCCCTCAAGGAATTCTCAGTCTATTAATAACAATAATTGAGACCATTTGTGGAGCTGGGTGAGGCACCGCACAATTATTTCATTTAATCCTCACAACCGCTCTCTAAGGTATAGTGGTTATTATAATTTATTTTCATCATGGTTTGCTGTACATTTTAATAGAGTCTCGATAACTACTGAAATGAAGTCTTCTAAAAGAATATTCCTTTGGACAGTTTAAGCATTCATTAAGACAGAAGCCTGAATAAATTTGTAAGCACTCTTGTTGTAGAATTTAACGATTCTAATGCCAGAAGTGACATACATTTATATGTATGGAGTGAACTCTGAGCTTCCTATACCCTCACTATACCCTCACCTCCCAGATCAAATAAAAAGTTTAAGCTCCTTCCATTATAGGATCAAAAGGCAAAAGATCAAATACCTTGGACAGCATTTCTCAACCAGCCAAGTGACTTGGATGACATGAAAAGGAGGCTACTGGTTCCTTCCAGAAGGGCTATAATTGTCTTTAAACACAGGATGGGTCACTATACCACTCAACACCTTCCTGCAGCCACAGGGTAAACCTTCGGCATGGCATTCAGAATTTTTCGCAACTATTTTTAACTTTGTCCCTGATTCACATGTTCTTCCAGGCACCCTCTCAGCCATCTGAGGCTCTGATCCATTGCTTGACCCACTCACCTCGGCCTTTGTCACCTCCGTGGTTTTGCCAATACTGTTCCTGCAACTTGGAAGGCCCTCCTCACTCATCTTCACTCACCATAAACCCTCCTCCATCCAGCTTTTCCCAACTGCCCGGTCAGAACTGCTCCCTCCTCTTCGCTCCCACACATGGCTTCCAGCTCTATTACAACACAGGTTCCTCTCCCCTTGACTGAGCACATCTCCACAGCCTGGTCTGGTACACAGAGTGGCTCTCAAATACTGTAGGATGAATGAAGGGCTGAACCGAACAGGTGGTACCAGCTGCTGCAAGCCCACCGCCCCACGTCCTGTCTGGCACTGGGATGGCCATCTGACCACAACGCCTAGAAATCCAGGGTGGCAAGAAAGCCCAACGGGTGGCCCAAACTTGGTCCAGAGCTCCTTCTAAGGCAATCCTAAAGCAAAAGATGTTCTATTACAGTCTGGCATGAGTAACACTGTCATCTCTTTTCCACCTCCCAAGGGACCTGTTATTTTCTTTTTAAAAAGTGTTGATTTTTTAAAGATACACAAATACATTTGTATTAAGAGATTCATACTTTATAGGAGTCAAGCATGAAAGTCCTATTTCACCACCATTCCTCCCACTCCCTTTCCCAGAAGTAATTACTGGGGACAGTTTAATGTGGTTTCATTTCTGTATACTTACATACATATATTTATGCAAACAAACTATTTTGAACACACATAGACAATATACTATTTCACCACTTTTTTTTCCCATTTAACACACTGATTTACACGAGGCCGAACAGTTTCTACTGGATGCTTATTGGTGATTCATTTCTTTTTCTGTGAATCTTTTGCCTATTTTCTACTTAGCTGACGGTTTTCTCGGTTTATATTAACTCTTTGTGGACACCCATCTTTTGTTACGTACATTGCACAGACCTGTTTTCCATCACATTCATTTACCATTTCTTAACAGTGTAACTCTGGGCAAGCCACTTAAGTTTCATTTCCTCAGCTAGACAATGAGGATGACAAGGCCTGTGTAAGACCCTGGGGAGAATTAAGTGAGAATTGCATTACAAGTACCAAACATTAAGCCCAGCATTCAGTAAGTACTCAATAAACGTTAGCTACTCTTCATTACCTAGATTTGGGGTCACAAGTTGGCTAGGAGTTTAGTTTAGCTCACGGAGTTTTAAAACACTACAGTTGCACACTTCAGGTGAGGCCGACATTTTCTAGTTGGCCACACACCCATCCCCTGCCTCTCCAGTCTGTTGTCTACACCACAGCTTCTCAGATTTATGTATCCAGCCTTCCACTCTCCAAAGTCTTTAATGGATGACAATAAATCAGGCTTTCAAATTATCAGCTGCGGTGAGGGCTGTTCTGGGTGCCCACTGTGCACTGTGAAACTCTAGGACGTGTCGTTCACAGTGTAGTTTTCTTACGGCCCCTTGGGATTGGCCAGCTTACAACCTGCACATCTGTACATGGCAGCCTGGTCCATATTTCAAGAAGTTTAGGGCATTCTCACAGCGAGTTTAAAAGTTTTCACAAGCGGCATCTCTTATTTTCACATCATCCACAAGGTAGGATCAAGATGGGTGTGATATCTCTAGTTTATAGATGGGGTAGGAGGCACAGAACTAGTAAGCCAGAAGTGTGGCCTAAACATCTCGACATTCAGATTGGGGGTGTGAAGGACCAAGTCATGAGGACCCTGTTTGGTACCCTGTCAAAGGCAAGATTAGGGACTTCCCTGGCGGTCCAGTGGTTGAGACTCTGCGCTTCCACTGCAGGGGCCGTGGGTTCAATCCCTCGTCTTGCATGCCGCAGCGTGGCCAAAAAAAAAAAAAGAAAATTACAAAAAGGCAAGATTAGAGCTTCTCGATTTCCAAAGACCTCCCAGAGATCATCAAAGAAAAGCCGTAAAAGAAACTACTACATCTATACCAAAACCATAGCTGGAGTTAGGCTAGACGATAACCCCTTTCATGAATGTAGAACTTCAAACCTCAAATGTTTTATAAAGTAAGTTTTCACTCCCATCATAACATTGGTTTATTAACAAAGCCTTGTAACAATGGACAAGGATTATCATACCCATTGTGGGCATCAGATGCTGAATTTGGGGGGTACTGCCTCTCAAGAACTCCCTCCCAAGAACTCCCTCCAAAGCACTAAAAGGCAGTCCTACCGACCAGCCTGAAGGAACTGTGGCAAAATGCCAGTCTGAAGTGAAGTGTATACAATCCAGGGAGACGGTGACAGCTACCCAGCTATCAGCTATCGGTTACAGTTTTAAGATACTGGCTAAACACACACACACACACACACACACACAAACACACACACTCACTCACATACTCACAAAGTTTCTAATGCAGAAACTAGTGGAAAGTTTTCAGACTGACAAACTTGTCACCGGAACTGAATATGCAAAAATAAAGAGCAAAACAAACCCGAGTCCAACCACCTCGTTAATAGCTGAGGTCTTTATTTCAATTTGTATGTACAGTAAAAGTGCTGCTGAGAATCTGCAGCAACCAGACAAAACAAAAATGTAATTCTCTCTCAACAATTAGCAGCTTAAGATCTATCAACTACAGTGTTAATGTTCACACGTTCACAAGTGTCATTTCTGTACTTTTCAATTCGTGCAAGTGAGTTTTTATTCTTACACACTTTGATAAAACACACTTACAGTCTAGTAGTCAATCCTACTGAGGGCATCACCCAGCATACACGACACACAGACAGAAATGTTAACTCTTAGAGCCACGTTCAAAATCCCCAGCTTCACGTGGGGGTGGGAACCATAATTTTACCTGTGTCAGTTTTTTGATAATATTTGGTTTTGTTTTGGATGCACATTTTCTGAGGTTGAAAGGCAGCTCCTCACTGGAGCTCACTTGGAATTCAGCATTTCATCTGACTGTACCTCAAAGGAATATGAAATCAGAAACAAAACCAAATACAGCAAAGACCACATGAAAATTATGCTCATTGTTACGACATGGCTAGCAAGGAAGGCTTGATCTGAGTTTTTCTTCGTATCAGATTTTTACCTCAATTGGGTGGAGGGGGTACAGGGGAGAGAGAAAACCCCACCCAGTCAGGCAAGTGTAAAATTTAACCTACTTTTGCTTCTTAAGGAGCCAGTGGAATAGAAAGCCTTCCTTGCTAGGATGCACTGAATATCTTTCCAAAGAACTGAAATTGGAGCAGACAGAAGTGCTGTTCAACTATCATAAAAAAAGGTAAACGTTAGTCACTCTACAACCTGAACAGAGTCACCCAGGCTACCATAGTCAGCCTCACACACCAGCACTAACCAGTAATCCAGGAATGCTTCATTTCAAATGGAATGCTTGTAGTCTTTAAAAGAGAAGAAGCATTAGAGTGATAAGTTTCCATCCACAGAACTGTTAAACCATTAGAGCGAGGTTATAGAAGAGCTTTGAATAGATAAGAGAACCCAGGAACAGCCACAATGCAAAGAAGCTCAAAGGCAACAGGTATAGGCAGCACAAAGTGGAAGGAAGGCAAGAAAATAGATGCACGGTTACAAACAGCATTAAATGCAGACAACTGTTGGGCCTGGTGAATAATCAAGGGACAAGAGATCTAGAAAGCCATTACCGTGCCTGACCTAGCCTGGAGGTCCTTCCGAGGACATTTTGAGAATGGAGGATGGACAGTCAGCGCGGGCCTGTTTGGCTGGGAGCTCAGGGGGCTTTCCAGAGGTGAAAACCTTCCTTTGACAGAAACTGTCCCGAGGCAAATGGGAACAATTTCAATCCATCTAGCCAGTGACTTCCAGTGCCCACAATACTTCGTAGTCTCTACACAGTTCACGGGACTCAGAAGTTCTGTCTTAGAAAAACTGGAGGATTGTGGCTAGAGCATCTTTCCAGTAACTTTGTGGGACTGTCTTTCCCTCACTAAAGCACAAAATTAGGAAAAACTGTGCTAGTTCGACAAGGTCATGGTGTCCTTTGGCACTTCTGCCTAAAGTCACTGCAATACCTTTAGGCAAAGTTAACATTGTAAATACATAGGCTTGAGAACAATTTGTTTTTGGCCTGAACATAAATTGGTTCCAATTATTTTTTAAAAGAAAAATCACCCCTGTGGTGCCTGCTCTGGGCACTGATTTTGAGAGGTCAACAGAGCTAACAGGTGTACTACAATCATTGGGGGATGGAGTGAAGATTGGGGTACCTGAGTTAAAATATGAAAATGATTATGGAAACAACGTGCTGCTTCTGAGAAGGCCAGCCTGCCAAGCCACAGGAGGCTGGAGCTGTCATGTAAGCCATCCTCTCAGACAGACAGGCAGTGTTAACCCAGTTCCAGAAGAATTTCCTGGTATAGGGGAGATGGGCAGGGCATGCTTTGCTACTCTTTTCAGGGCAAAGTATGTGCCCCTTGCTCATCACCTGGTTGCACAGAACAGAGGCCAAGAGGCAACAGCATTTGTGATTCAATACTATGAATACGAAAAGGTTGGCCAAGCTTTCTAGATAGGCTCTAAAAGCTCAAGTTCCGCCAGGATGGTAGAACTGGTTATAGGATGGCGAAGAAGGCTCAGTCCATTTTTCTAAACTGTCTATAAAGGTCCACTGAGCATAGTTATGTTAACAAGTCAGTTTAGATGAAGAGGACGCTGACAACATTTTATACCCCAAACGTGAGTCCTTCTAACCTGACATTTGCTTTTCTGCTCTTTAGGGAGAAATCACCTTCAGTTGATTCTCTTGGGCAGACAGAATAAAGCTTTGAAATTAAAGATGCTGGGGCCAAAATGCAGACAGAAGATTCCACATCACTTTGGTTTCAGTAATTAGGGGGTGTTAAAAAATGAACTAAGAAAACACAAGGAATTACTTATGACTCTCATAGTACAGTCTCAATTTTTCCTACAGATAATCCCAGCCCAAAGTCACTGGGTAAACATATTGTTGGGGCAAAAAAAATCTCTACCCTATCATGCTGGCTTGTGGAAACAGCCTCCCCCTCTCCCTGCGCACCCCTTTCCTCTCCAACCAAGCCAAGCCCATAAAGTGGTGGTGTGGGGTGGCAGGACACCAAAAAGCAGTAGCAGCAGCCAGAGGATGGAGTTTAAGCTGGGTCTCAAAACAAGGGTGTCAGAGGGTGGCATTTACAGCAAGTGTTCCTCTACTCAAATTGTTTCAAGACAAGAGGGAGCAGCACACTTAAATATCCACACATTTCTTCATTTAAAAACATCACTTCTTTATTTCAAAGGAAAAAATAAAAGACCCTCCCAACCCTTTCCAAAAAAACCCAATAATAATAATAACAATAATAAAAAATCCTATTAGAAACCATAAGGAAGCACTGAGAGTTTGAGTATTACATTCTTCAAGTATGCTGTTCAGATTTTTTGTTTTTTAAATTGGTGACTATACACATATTTAAAAAAACCTTAAAAGTGCGGCCACGGGATTTGCTTAAAGTTAAGTATTTAGAGGGCTACTTCAAAATACTGTAGTAGGACTGTGCAGTGATCCTTTGGGGCATGATGCTCTCACTTGTGTATCCTAGCAAAGGTTAAGGGACCAGGTTCAAAAGTGATCATACTTCCAGGGTTACCATGAGTGGCCAACTTGGGTGAGAAAGCCAGGGAGATCCATGTGTTCTTCCACGGACAAGGAAAATCCACCCTGAATCCAGAAATTCAGACATGGAATGTGGTAGGACTTCACAGTAAAGTTAGTCTGGGAGGGGGAGAGGTGGTGAGCCCAGACAAGGCAGGGTGTTAGGTTTAACTGGTTTCCCTAATCAGGTTTTCGCATCTTTTTAGTGGATTTTAGTGCAGTCCTTCAAGCCACAATTTAGAATGCCCTTCAGTGTGCTCCAGATTGTTGGTTCATGTTAAAGGACTGTTTAAGATCTGCATCCCAAGGAAAATCATGCTACATAAAAATGATCCAAGATTTTTGCCCAAAAAACTTCTTGGATAAAATCTAAAAAATACTATTGCAATTGCGTCTTTTGAAGAAAAAAACATTATTCTAAATGTAAACAGATTCACTCAACTCTTTTGTTGTTGTAGAAAACTTCAGAGTAGGTAAGTTGCTGTCTAATTCTTCGCCGCATGCACTCGCCAGAGGGTAGGGGAGCACTGCCTTCTTGTGCCAGCATCATCTGGAGGAGGAAAAGAACCGTTCCACGTAGCTGAAGAGGGCATCCCAGTGCTTCCAGAGAAAGGCAATGAAAACCACAAGGAATAAAGTGCTGAACGTCCTGTTGCGAGTCTTCATGAGGGGAACCACGCAGTTGGCTACCGTGGAGACAAAGACCAGAAGGACTGCCATGACCGCCAGGAGGATGTTGATGAGTTTGCCCAGAAGGTTCCGGGCAGTGGCATTCTCCAGCCCTTCCAGCTGTACCACCTGCTGCTGCTGCTGCTGCAACTCCATCTTGGAGATGCGGGTCTGGCACGCCTCCAGGGCCTCCTGTGGGCCAGACAGGGAAGAGTTAAGCTTTCTGCTCACAAGCACTCTGAATAGCTGACATGCCCCTTGGGCAAGCCAGATGCATCTTGAGCCACGCCAATGATTTAAAATATGCTAGAGTCTTGAATGTGAGAGGCCAAATGCATAACTCACAATTCAAGTAACTATTATACACCTAAACTGCCTTCCATTGCATTCCTGTGGGACAGCTCACAGGAAGCAGTTGCCACAATTAGATTTGGTCTTGAATATTTTAATAACAAGATCTCAAATATATGATTTTGTTTCTCTTTTCTTCCATTTAAAAATTATTAAGTTGCACAGGACACACACAATTGTTCAACATAAAAACATTTCAAATAGGACACAAAGGCAGTCTCTCTTGGTATTTTCCTCAGTTCCAGTCCCTGCCCTTGACATAACTCTGTCAGTTTGGTGTGTGTTCATCCTTTCACCCGTGTTTAAGTCTATACACATATGTCCCTAGGGATACGCGTGGAATTATTTAAAAATTGTCTGCCTTAATGAAAATAGTATCATACCCTAGGACTGATCCACAGCTTGCTTTTTTCACTTGACAGCGGGTCCTGGAGATCTCTCCGTGTCAACGCGTAGAGGCCCACCTAGTTCTTTTTAACGGCTACCTAGCATTTATAGCTTGGATATGTCACAGTTTATTCAGCCAGTTCCCTACTGGAGAGACATAGGTTATTTCCAACTTTCCCACTATAACAATGGAGAGGTGAACATTCTTTGGACATCCCTGTACACACTACCTGGTGTTTTTCAAGTTAAATAACTCCCTGACATCAGGGGAAAGGGCTCCCTGCTCTGTCTTCTTAAGAAGAGTTGATCTCTGTGAAGAGGACAGACACTATGCCCAAACACTTGACCAAACATTTCAGGTGATCTGCTCCTCTCAAGGCCATAATCTTGACCCATGAGTTTATATAAAATTTACCATAACACTCAGAGGACAGAACCTATTTCCTTAGCAATGGTCAGATACCCTCCAAAGCTCAGCAGTGGTGGGAGCCCTGGGATTTTCTGATCTTGGTTTCAGTGGGCCCTGGTTTCCTGGGATTTGAGGTGAAGGCTAGGCAACTTCAGACTGAAGCTAAGCTAGAGAATGGACATACAACAGATACATTCCAGCCCAGAATGACCTTGGGGAAAAAAACTAAAACGTAAGCAGAATTCCGGGGCATGGAGAAGATGGCATCTGGGCAAATGATCTAGACATTCCCTTGATTCTTTGTAATAAAAGTTTCCCGGACCAGTTCCCTTCTCTAAGACTAGTTTATTTCAAGATGCTTTCATATGAAACCACCAACTGTTTTCTTAGAAATATCTCCCAAATGGGATGAGTAAAAGTTAAATATCGTATTTTCCCAGAGATTAAACTAGAGGAGTATTAGCCTTAAACATTATCGCCTCATGTGTTATTCTTGTAAACTGCCTGGCAATGCACCTGTAAAAGGTTTGGATTTGGCAGCTAGCACAAAAGCCCCCTTTACCATAGAAGAAGATAGGTAAGATGGCCCTGAGACGTGTCACAGCAGCTCCTGAAGCAGCAACGAACAGACGTAACACATGTGCTTTTCCATGTACTGAGACAACTGTGATCCTAAGAAGCATTTCCTAAGAACGCAAGCAAGCATACCACCTCCAAATGGCACAGACTTTTGAGAAATGCACCTCATCTGAAGAGCAGGTGTATTACAGTTGGTATAAGCTTCTCAATATTCTACCCTCTCCATCCTTTTTTCCCCTAAACATTTTTTTTATTGTGGTAAAATACACATAAAATTTACCACTTTAATCATCTTAAAGTGTTTAATTCAGAAGCATTTAGTAAATTCACAACGTTATGCAACCATCACTACTATTAAATTCCAGAACATTTTCATCATCCCCAAAATAAACCCCTACCTTTTACCTATCACTCCCTTCCCCCCTTCCCTTAGTTTCTGGCAACCACTAACCTACTTTCTCTCTCCACAGATCTGCTTATTCTAGACATTTCTTATAAATGGAGTCATACACTATGTGGCCTTTTGTGACTGGCTTCTTTCACTGAGCATAATGTTTCAAGGTGGATCCATATTGTAGCATGTATCAGTACTTCATTCCTTTTTTTCTTTTTTTATTGTGGTAAAATACGTATAACATAAAATTTACCATCTTAACTATTTTTAAGTGTACAGTTCAGTGGTATTAAACATTTATAATGTTGTGCAACCATCACCGCCATTTATCTCCATAGCTCTTTCATGTTATAAAATTGAAACTCTGGACCCATTAAACAATAACCCACCCCCCATCCCCCTAATGCCTTAGCCCCTGGAAACCAACATTCTACTTTCTGTCAGCCTTTTGCTTTTACACCTGATCCTTCATGCTAACCTGAATGTCCCGAGCCCGTTCATAGGACTGATATGCAATTTTCTCTTCCATGCTGGCCAATTCCTGCTTCAAGTTCAAGATTTCATTCTGGTGGAGCTCTGTTAGGTCATTTAGTTGTTCTTCTAATCGTTCACATCTAAGAAGGGGGAAAAGTTAAATTTTTTATGCATTCTGTATTTTTCTTGGTATTATTCACATCCAATCCCCAAAATCCATTCTGCAAAGGAAGAAAATAAAAGCACAAAGAAATTAAGTGAGTGGCCTAAGGTAACAGGGCATGCTAGTGGGTACAGCTCTTAGTGCCTGGAATGGACAGCTTGTCACAAGGCCATATCATAGCAGCAACATGGCTCTTCCACATCTCTCAACACACGGTATTTGTAGTGAGGCCAGCAGCCCTGATTAGCTTTAAGCACACCTGTTATAAACGAGGCAGTTCTTATTCTGCTCTGAGCAGTACATGGGAGAGGCAAAAACTACAGCAACATTAAGCAGGTCTTATCAGAAGATAAACAGCACATAAATGGAAACTGACCTTCTGGCAATCACCAGTAGCTTATTCCAACACCCGGCAGGTCACTCACCTGTATGTTCATTATTCAGAGCCCATCATCACTAGAGCCAAGCACAGTGTCTGTGACAGTGTCAACAGATATTTACTGAGAGCCTTCTGCGTGCCCGGTATGTTCAAAGTGCTGCGGACACTGTGGTAATAAGCAAGACAGAACGCCTGCCCTCAGTTTACGTTCTGCAGTCGGGGTGGAAGGCAAGAAAACCAAGATGACCGCAGGCATGGATAAGTAAACCAGGAAAGATCAGTATGGGCATATGGCAGAGTGCCCAGCGGCTGACGAAGCTGGAATGGTCAGGGAAGGCCTCTCCCCCATTCAATGCTCTAAACAATGAGAGCTGAAACCTGAGTGATGACATGAATAAGCCCCGTGAAGCTGTGAGGGGAAGAGTATCTTAAAGCAGAAGGAATTGCAAGTATAAAGGTCTCAAGATGGGAATTAGCTTGGCAGGTTTTAGGGACAGCAAGTAGGGACAGTGTGGCTGCAGGTGAGTAAAAAACTGAGAATGCAGGGAGATAAGGTTACTCAGGAGGAAGGATCATTTTGTTCATCTTGCACCTCTAGCATTTAGTACTACATATGAAAAGGTTTATTCTACATAAAGATGGGACCTGGGCAGGGCATCTAAGGACCAGTAGGATTGGAACAGTTTTAAAGGACGAGATCAGAGATTCCGGGTGGAAAAAGAACACAGGTAAAGGACAGGAGGTGGAAATGTATAGGCTAACTGGAACAGTAGACCTAAGCTGGAGAAAAAAAAGGAAATCTGCCCGTAAAAGGTAGGTAGGGGAGTGGGGATTCTGGAATAGACAGTACAAGGGCCCAAAGCACACTGCTGGGTGGGGGTGGAGTGCGGTGTGGTGACATGATGAACACGGTGTTTTAAGAAACTGGGTTGTCTGCTAGTGGTGAAGCTTGGGGCAGGTTGTGGGTGGAGTTCAAGGAACCAAAAAAGGAGCTAAGTAGGTAGGAGAAAGGTTGACGACTACACACTAAGAAGCCTAGAAAGGAAAGAATAAAAACAGGTCTAGCTTAGGGCTACTAGAATGGAAGCGTCTCAGTCAGACAGAGGGCTCATCCAAACAGGAGAATATATACAGTTGGGGTTCCACATCCTGCAGGTTCCACCAACCTCGGAATGAAAATATTTAGAAAAAAAAAATTCCACCAAGTTCCAAAATGCAAAACTTGAGTTTGCTGTGCGCCAGCAAATATTTACATACCGTTTCCATTGTATTAGGTATTATATGTACTCTAGAGGTGATTTAAAGTATGTGGGAGGATGTGCATAGGTTATATGAGGGACTTGAGCATCTGTAGATTTTGGTATCCGTGGGGGTGGAGTAGGGCGAATGTGTGTCCCGGAACCAATGCCCCGCAGATGCTACCGCTGAGTGCTGCCCAGGCAAGCACACACCTAACACTAGCATGGGAGTCTCAGCAGGCTTCGTATTAAAAAAATTAAAATGTCAGAACAAACTCAAACATTTAAAACTACCCTCCCTTTTCCTCTTGTTTTTAACCACATGTATAGTACACAAACTTTTAAGGAATACATGCAAGTTCTCTGTTCAAGGTGGTGGCATCACCAACATTCTCCCTTCTAATAATTGTATAATGAATAATTACATTCATTTATATCCTAAACTCCATTCCTTCTCTATGAAACAAGGATTTAAAAAAAAGGTGCAGCTGACCCTTTTTACTATGTTACTGAATCCTATTTAGTTCTCCTGTGTCCTTGATAAGAATCTTTGTGCTGCTTTCTTTCCCATTGAAACTGTCACTAAAGTGACTGAACAATTGATCAGAAAGGTTTCCACTTTTTGTCCGTAACTAGGGCGGATTCTCTGTGACTCTGCCTTTTCACTTTATCTGTGACCCTGGGCATGCTCAGAAACAGATGCCACCTCTGGAGTTGATTTTCCACCAAATGTTAAGTTCAACAAATGCCACAAGATTATGTTAATATATTGTCTTTTTATGATTGTCCTATTAAGCTCATCGTTTGTGGTGTTTTCAGTGTTCGATGATTTCGTTATTCTTTCTCCTCACCACAGAGGGGCTAGACACTTTTTAAAAGTGGTGTTCCATTGTGTCAGTCCCTTGGGATTTAAGGGAAGGGCTGGGCCTGGCAGCAAAGAACTGTCCTAAGCTAAGGATTGATGTGGGGTGGCAGGGAGGGGAGCCTGGTGGTAGTGGCAACCAGCCTGCATGCTGATGAAAGCAGACCCAGATGACATCTTTGGCATGTGTTCCATAGGCTGCCACCTCAACCCCTTAGCCCACAAATTGTATAGTCTTTCAGGCCTTTCAGGAATGTTGGAGAATCTTATTTGATATTAAACATGGCTCACAAATACCATTAGAACAAATTAAAAAGTAATAGCAGCAGCTACCATTTATTCAGTGCCTCCTATGTAAATTAACTTCCACAACCCCAAGAAGGGAGTAGGTATTATCTTCACTTTACAGATGAGGAGGCTGTAGCTCAGAGAGGTAAAGAGACTTGCCCAAGGGCACACAGAAATTAAGCAGGGGAGCAAAGATTTGAATCCAGGTTGGTTTGACTTTAAACCCAAAGTTCTTAACCTCTGTGCTATGATGCCACTTTGAAACAATTCAAGAAGCCCAGATAAACTAATTCCCTTCATAAGTAAGAAATGTGAGTCAGGTCTAAAGCTGATCCAAATCACATAGCCACAAAGGGGCCTGGACAGTACTACACTGATGTGATGGTTTGAAGCTTTATGTCAAGGTGGAGTCAATGGGAGGAGGAGTGTAAAAAAAAGATTATGGACCTAGAATAAAAAAGAAGATAATAACAAGTGTCGGTGAGGACGTGGAGATTTCGAGCCCTGGTATACTGCTGGTGCAACTGTTCTGGAAAACAAATTTGGCAGCTCCTCAAAGAGCTAAACATAGAGTTACGATATGCTTCAGAAATCCCACTCCAGGTATACACCAAAGAGAAATGAAGACTTATTTCCACTCAAAATTTGTACACAAATGTTCATAGGAGCATTATTTATAATGGCCCCAAAGTGGAAACAACTATCAACTGGCGAGTGGATACATAAAGTGTGGTCTATTCATACAATGCAGTATCATTTGGAAAGAAAAAGAAACGAAGTAATGACACATGCTACAATATGGATGAGCCTTGAAAATACTATGTTAAGTGAAGCATGCCAGTAAGAAAGACCTGAAAAATGTATGATTCCATGTATATGAAATATTCAAAATAGGCAAATCTATAGAGACAGAAAGATTAATGGTTGCCAGGGGCTGGGGCAGGACTGAGAAGATTGGAGACTGATGAAAATGTCCTAAATAGATTATGGTGATGGTTGCATATATCTATGAATATACTAAAACAATTGATTTGCGTATCTCAATAAAGCTGTTAAGAAAAATTATGGATGCCTGTAGTTTACTTTGAAATGCATCAAAAAAATACAACAGATAAAGGATGGACAGATGGAAAGATATACAATAAGACAGTATTGTAAAATGTAGAATCTAAGAGGTGGGTGTATGGATGTTCACTGTACAATTTTTTTCAAGTCTGCAGTGTGTTTGAAAATTTTATAATAAACATTGGGAAAAAATGATTATAGGTGTTATAGCCAGAAGCACTTGGGTTTGATTCCTGGTTCTACCTCTCAAAGTTGCATAGCAAGTTCCTTCATCTATAAACTGAGAGTAATAATCTCTACCTTGTATATGCATTTGAGTACACAGGAGGTGTTAAAAAATGTCTCTCTCCTGTCCATCTTCACAGTCTACTAAGAACACACTGGCCCTTTCGAAAATGTTTCTACTGCATAATGAAGAAGGCATCGCGTGAGTACGTGCTCCCTGAAAGGAATTCATGGGCAATTTGAAAACCTTTTTAACTAACCAAATATTTCCTGTGGTGACTGACTCATGGCCTTAGTCTCATCTTAGGCTCACCGGCAGTCCACATCACTGTGCTAACTACAAAATAAATCCAATATCTCACACCCTGTTTTACATGTCTCTAAGATGATCACTATTTCACATACCTCCCCCGTCCCCTTTAGAGTTGTTAAAATCAGTAGGTTACAAAGTGAAATACACCACAAACAGTTAAAGTATCGTTTGGAAGATAAAAATAAGTTCACTGACTATAAAGAATCTTAAATTCTAGGGATGAGGAAAAGCCTACTTAAATCTCTTTCCATCAAGGAACTATTTCTACAACATCCCTGACAAGCAATCTCTCTGTGAACACCTCTAGTGGCAGGGTATGGTTTTTCCTAAGGCAGTTGTTTTCACTGCTAGATAGATACAGCTATCCATCTAAAACTGAACTAAAACCTAGCGACTCATAACTCTCACCTCAAGCCCCCTCTCTCATCTACATTACCTGTGATACCTGCATTCAGCAATAGGAGATAGTTCCCTATGGATTTCCACACAACTAATCCCTAAAGTCCTGACCGCACACGCATCTGTCAGTATCATTTTTTTTTTTTTGCGGTACGCGGGCCTCTCACTGTTGTGGCCTCTCCTGTTGCGGAGCACAGGCTCCGGTCGC